TCCATAAATGTGAGCTTTGTACTTAAAATGAAAAAACACCACCAGCTTTGAAAAGTGAGCACCAAGATTTCACATTACGGTGTGTTTTATTGAAATACAACTTAACATAACTTACATGACAGCAACAACTAAAAGTACAGGTAAAAACATTACAGAGGAATGCAGTGCATATTCTCCATTACTCACTCCCTTTGGGTTGCTCTTTTTGTTTGCATAAAAAGGAAATTGCCGAATAAACATACGGATTTTTTTTCCGTCACCTTCAACTTTTTTGTCAAATCGTTGCGACCATGGAATCCGTCCATTAACTGTTGGCACAAAATCACCTGGGGAGTAAACCGCCCTGGCATGAGGCACCCCTTATCCTAGGCTCCCAATCAACAAACTCTCCTCAGCAGACTTTCTGGATGATGTCCTTGAAGGAAACTCTACACACCCAAGGGGTTTCCGTGCTGTCGTGGAAAACTTGCAATCAGTTACATGAGTACTGCACCTAACTTTCTCCACCGTTCAAGACTGCATTGAGCCCAGATGTTCTTCCTGGCACTAGGACCGTTTGTGTTTAACCTCTTCTTACACCCAAATTAAGTGCAAATATAAACCTTCTCAGCCACCCACACTCTCTATATGTTACTGAACAACATTTCTGTGGAGTGCTTTTTTGAACACTAGAAACGCAAACAAATGCATGACAAATATATCGCATTTCATATCTGTGGAAAAGTTGCATGAACATAACACAATTGTTCCGACGCTACAAACGTTTGAGTTCTAAAACAAAGCTGTTATTTTTTAAAATGCAGTACAGTGCAGTGTGTGTTTATGTACAGTACTTGCTTGAATAATCAATTGTTGAACGCAAAACTCAACATTGAGGGTGGCCTGGTGGTGAATTCCTATCGGCTCTCCTCTGGTGGTGAATTCATATTGGCTGTACTCTAGTGGTGAATTCCTATAGATTTTCCTCTGGTGATGAATTCCTATCAGCTTTCCTCTGGTGGTGAATTCCTATCGGCTTTACTCTGGTGGTGAATTCATATCGGCTTTACTCTGGTGCAGTGTTCTTAACTCATTTTCAAAAGGGGGGCCACTGTCGCCGATAAGACATCAGTATGAGGACCGCCACACATTTTAAAACATTGGGGTTTGACAGCATTAAAACCGTCACTACCCGGCACAGTCAATTAGTAAGGTTTGTCACGTAAACAAAACATACAAATTCGTTACTAGTTCAGCACAGTGTGTTGGAGAGTAAACCCACTACAACATTTACAATTCGAGTACCGTGACGTTTCGCCGATAATTACAACCAGCATCATCAGGCGATAGCAACTAAATTTGTGGTAACGTTAAAGTGTTATTTTTTTTGTAAACATAAGTTACACCTTCACATACGCGTATGCACTGGCCATAGGACTGTGCTTACATCGTTATGGCTGATGTAATCATACATAACTGTAGATGATTTTGTGAGTTTACACAGGTTAAACTGTTTGTGGTTGTATGTGTCAGGGAGGCTGACCCCCGGCTCCTCGCTCACGTGGGATCCGCTGCTCCCCTCTTCTGTGTCCTGGGGAGGATTACTGCTCACCGACTCCCCCCTCTTCGCTGCGGCTTCTCGGGGCATGATTCGCGGCTGGCGCTTAGCCACCTGGGGTCAATTTACACAAATCTCTGCGCACACGCACTCACACCCACTCACTCGAAATCCGACGTCGCTCCTCTCCCGTGCCGCGCACCAATCGTGCACGTGGGACTGGGGTCAGAGGGCAGGGACGTCACTCGCACACGGGCAGCCGATTGGGGGGTTGTCTTGGAGATTTATTTAAAGGGCTGTATGAACAATCTCACGGTACGCCGCCCATTCGCCTCACGCATACGCTTAACAAAAAGGCCGCACGAATAATCTCGCGTGTACGCCGCCCGTTTGCCTCACGCACACGTTAAGCACAAGGGGTATGAGTAATCTCACGTGCCCCTGTACGAGTCTGCCACCGCTCACCACACACACAGATGTTAACCGCGAACTACACGCATGGGCGAGCGCAAACACATGGATAAATGCACACTCACGCACAAACACAGGGTACAATGACGCACACCACCATGCATCCGTTCCACCCTCGCAGAGACCACACGACAAGGTTTATTGATCACCAACAGTTTATTCTAAGCGAGTCCGAGGCTAAATTACCCGAGTCAGTTTGAGTCAGCAGGGCAGGTCTAACCTATCTCCCAATGGTCTAAGACCCAATCTGTCCTGCCTCTTTCGAATCACTCTCCTAGGAAAAGCTCACGAATGCCTCAATGTCTCACTCTCGGTTCGACTCGTACGGAGCTACTGAGTCGGATCCTCGCTGCACTTCGACTCGTCACACGAACGTTCAAGTGGCTGGGAAATCGACGGCCCCGAGTGCTGGCTTGAGTAGAACACGAACTACCTCTCCCTACCTTCTCTCCTCTTTTAATTGTCCTCTACATCAAAGATAAATCGGCGCTGATCCGCTGGCCTCCCGTCCAATCAGGTGGCTCGGATTTTCTGCCACTCTCCCCGGACCGGTGCTTTCTCAGACGTCCGCTTTTTACCTTCTAAACAAGCGCATCTGTCCTACCAATCAGAGGACCGGCCCTGTTTTTCCCACCGTTCGTGACTCCGTCCCCCCCCCCTACCTGCCTGCTGACCTGTGTATGTTGTGGGTGTTTTCTATCCACGGTGGCTCAGCAGCCCCGTCGTGACCATGTAATTACAACCCAAGTCACGGCGCCGCAGTGCAAGTTAGCCTCGGGGGAGATCGCCCAATTCCCTGATCGCAAGAAACCGTGAAGTTTGGTCCCATGAGAGGGCTTCTGGGTGAAAACCTGTCGGCCAGGTGACCTCCCCTCGGGGCTCTCTGTGGGGGTGTGTTTGTGTTCATGTGGGGGGTGGTGAGGGAAGAGCAGCATCGGCCCCGTCGCTCGGAGGTGGCGGCGTCGCGGCCACGGCGTCGGCCGGATGGCTTCGCTGCTGCGGCATCACAGTTGCAGGCACGGCTCCGACGGAGCAGCTTCGCTGCTGTGGCACCACAAGTGTATTATTTTGGGCCTCCCGTAGATCGACTCGAGTACCTGGTGTTATGTATGAACATTACCACAAGGGCGGCCAGGCGTGGTGCTGGCTACCCACCCCATTGTGTGCCGTGCCGCCTTCAAACGTTCTCACTGAGAGCGCTTACTCCCAACAGTCTGATAAGGCTATAAGGGTGGGGGGGGGGGTAAGTGCGTGAGTGTCTCATGAAGTGTGCAAAGCGCTATTTTTTTAGTTTCAAGTAGCATCGAAGCGTTACGAACCTACACAGATACAAACCAAATATAAGCAAAATCTCTTGACCCTATTATATAATTGTGCACAAAAGCGCAGAACTCAGCACTTACATCCACCTCTACAATCATCAGTGCCTACAGCTGTAGAGATGTGTCTATTCTGTAGAATAATAATTACACTGTCGTTACAATAATAATTCCACACATCAACCCACCCAAATATGTTTACTCTGCCCGGATTCACATTGGCCAATCTAAAGCAGTAACAACAGGCAGTTTCACCAGCATTGGTTCAAGCAAGCCTGACTGTTGATGAGACTGAAAATGGTCCAGAGTTGTTCTTGTGTTGAACCAATACTTCTGTTCTCCCAGGCCATGTGGCTGTTGGGATGTGTAAAAGTCTACTTTAGTTTTTATATGGAGGGACAGTTATGTAAAGGAAAACTACGTTGTTCCTTATTGTCTCCACAATAACGTTCATGGTTATTTGATGTTACAGCGGTAACCCTGTAACAGTTTGAAAACTCTGCTCCAATTAAATTTCAATTGTGCTATCGGCGTCAGGTCACGAGACGATGTATCTGCTTGGAACTCTGGCAGAGTGCATCGCCCCGTGTCGGAGAACAGCCCATGGAAGAAGGCGTCAATGAACGACATCCTCACACCAAGGAAAACGTACTTCCACATGACAGTCAAGCCGATGTGTTTCATTATCAAAGATGAAATTTGGCCAAATTAAGTGAAAAACCAAATGTATTATGGTGGGTGGGGGGTCTTTTTTGTGTAGTCATTGGTGACTGGGCTGACACCGCCTATGCATTGCACTTGAGAACCCAATTTAATGAAGCGTGGTTATGAACGAAAATATAACCCAGCACCTCTGGTGCCAGCGAAGTGTTCGGAACCGTGGGCCAACGCGAGGAAGACTGCACTCGAAGGGAGATGCAACCGACAAAGCACAAGTCTTGCCGTGTACATCCATAGCCAGGCCGTGTGTGGTAGGCTGTGTATGTATGTTGAAGTTCATTCGCACCGTACAGAGTCAACCGTGCTATAATGGGAGGTGTGGGGGAAGAACAAAAAAACTAAACACAAAAAGCACTTCGAAAGCAATGAGTTTTCAATTTAGATTTCAAAGTGCATCGCTCCAGTGGCTTCCTAATATTGAAAGGAAAGCGTTACGGATGGCCACAGAAGCGCATCTGAAAGCGCACGATGCAGTGACCGTCTTTATTCAATGCTTAGCCCAAAGCCGCTGCTGCGAAGATGACCGGAGTTTGCTTGATGGTTTATGCTCCTTGTGGTTAATGTGGAAAGCACTTTGTGTGTAACGAGAGCGACCTTGTGCGTAGTTCGGCCATGTGTCCGAGGCTGTGTGACATCGCTGCGGCACCCCTGCCATCATCCCACGTGCATAGCTGGTCAAGAGTGACGGAGCAACGCGTTTAGGTCCTGATGAGATTACCGGAAGGGCTATAAAGCTGATATTTGGCACAAATATAGTTGAGTCTATACTCATGGCGAGACACGTCAGAAAGCCACACAATTTGATTTTAGATCCTTAATAAAAAAAAAATCGACTAGTTTTAGTTATATTTCATTCATCTTTTTAGTTTCTCACTTTTTTACCTAGGCATATAAAAGTGTGAAGGATTTGTATCGTTCTAAATAAAAAATGACTAAAGATTTTTTAATCCCCCAAAAACTGTACATGTTTTACCTCTGCAATAATTGAGCATTAACATTTCAATTGTTTGTTTTTGAGCCAAGATCCAAAACGTGTTGCATTATTTCGTTTTGTGACATCAAAAGCCAAAAATAAATATTTTGGGCTCCCATATTTTCGTCACTTTTTCTCTTCTGAACCTAGCCCGAGAGACATTTGTATCTGGGGTGTTTTGGAGGGTGCCGAATGGATCTCTACCTATAAATATAAAAATGCATACGAAAACGGTTTAATGAGCGACTTGAGATTGGTGGGAGAGAAGTGGGTCCTTTGAAAATAAATGTTTGTCCGTAAATGTTCCCTATCACTATAGCTGGGCATCTGCAAATCTGATCACCCTGTATTTGAGGAATTACTTTAAATTATTACGATTCTTTTTCCTCCCGAACAAAGCTTTACACGTATGTCGCCGTGCCGCTGCTCGACGCCGCATTCCGCCAAGTCCACAACAACCTCTCGTCGCGCCGTGAGGTTGTTTTTATCCTCTCAGATGCAGCCGCACTCCTCCGCCACCATGTCTGGCACGTCCTTCTTCTGGATGTTGTTCTTATCGTCGTAGTAGAGCATGGACACCGAGCTGAAGCGGACGGGAACGCAGCAGGTGGTCTTAGCGGCCACGGGCCCCAGGCCGCGCAGGTTGTACTGGTTGATGATCACGCTGCGCAGGGAGGAGGCCGAGCTGGTGCCGTTCAGGACCTGCGCCCCCCTGCACTCGCCCTGGCAGTAGTTGCTCTGGAAACCCGCCGGCTGGATGATCCAGTCGCCCCAGTTTATCTTCCGGAACTCCACGTAGAAGCGCTGGAGGCAGCACAGGCTGGACGAGCCGTCGCACTCCACGCTCCTCCTGCGCGTGCGGCTCCCGCCCTGGGATGACGCCATGCGCAGCAGGAGGAAGGGCCACCCGTGCGGTCCGAATTCCGCCAAGTCCACGTTCTTCTCGCCGCCGCCACCACCGCCACCGCCGCTATCAACAGCAGCAGCGGCGGAGGCGACGGCGGCAGCCTCCCCTTGACCTTTTGCGGCCCGACCCGACAGCGCAATGCACCCGTCGCACTCGACGCTCACAGCGAGCGCCCCGTCCGCCCTCTGCAGGGTGGCACGCACGGCGTCGAGCAGCGGCACGGCGACCCACGCGTCCTTGGCGGTGACCAGGACGCGCCGCTGCACCTCGACGGCGGGGGCGCCGGCCGAGCGGACCCTGACACGCAGCAGGGCGGCCGCCGCCGTGCCGTCGGGAAGCCGCGGGCCCCCTTCCGCGGCGTGCACGTGGAGCCACAGCTCGGCGCTGCGCAACCACGCGACGCGCAGCTGCTGCTCGGCGGGGAAATCCAGGCGCAGTTGCAGCGCGCCCGAGTGCCAGCCATCTGCGCGAGTTGGGAGTGTTGGGGTTGAGGGGGGGGAGAAGGGGTGTGGGGTAAGATAGCGGTTCGCGCGCCGCGTTATGAACCCGGCGACTCGCGTTCGAATCCCGCTCACTGTTAGGGGCGACACGGTGGCGAGGTGTTAACTCCCTCCACTTGGTATGCAGGAGGTCGTGAGTTCGATCCCGACCCTGACGCCTGCTGTATATTTGGGGTTTCCATGTTTTCCACCGTGGTCGTGTGATTTTTCTCCGGGTTTACGGTATTTGGCTGCGATATGTCTACATGATAAGCCACTTCGTTGAGCTATCATTTGTGGTCAAGTCGCTTTTGAAAAAAGCTACATAGCTCAGTGGACCTTACCTGGTAAAATAAAAAAAAATGTTTAGTTTGTATACAAAAAAACTCTTAGTAATACCAGTGACGATTATCTGAACCGGTTCTGGGCCTCCTCTAGGTCGACTCAGCCTCAAATAAGTACCTGGTGGGGTGTAAATATCGCCACTGGAGAGACAAAGGCGGACAGGCGTGGTGTTGGTCACCCACTCCCTCGTGTGCCGTGCCCGCCTTCATAGGTGTTACTCGCTAACAGCACCTGCCCTGTAAGTCTTTTGAGGCTATATGGGGGATCGTTGTCTTTGCACAGCGATGATGAACCGCAGCCGCCCCACCCCCGACGGGAGGCCAATTGAACCCACGTGCGCGGACACATTCGGGTATTATTTGTTATACCACTGGAGGGGAAATATGATACTGTAAACCGTGATGCTCCATCACATTATACTTGTAAATGTAGCAAAACCCCAAATTATTCTCTAACACTGCCTTAAAAGGAAGGTAATATATAATAGGCAACGTTTTGGGCAATGATAGAAATAGTTTCTTTTAATTTGGATATATGTTTTAAAGTGATTTGTTTACCTTTCTTACACTTTGCACTCGTATCGTGTTTTTTGTATTGTTTGTTGTTGCAACATTCTGACCTGCCCCGACAGGACATCTGTAAAAAAAGCTTAATAGTTTATCGGATTCCTCTAGTATGAATAAATATTCTGATTCTCAATGGCCTTTCAGCACACATCTACACTGGTGTGCTATCAAGAAGGGCCATTACCCGAAACATAACCTGATATATACAAACCATTTTAATGTCACGGCGTTGGAAAAAGCTATGAGTTTTTATCAGAATTATAATAATGCAACTTGCTTATCCCGAAAAAGCCTCATTGAGTCTCACGATGCATTTTCAGAAGCCATTATCACAAGTGCTTCATATGTGGGGGAAACCGGAGCACACAGATAAAAACCACTCACCACGAGATGAGGACAGCGTTCTAAGTTCCGCATGACCGAGTTCGCTAAAGCCCCAACTCGCTGCACTGCCATCTACTTGATGCCCCAAAAAATATTGTTAAAGCTTTGGATTACGGCCATGCACCGCCATTGTTGCACAGACAGTGTAAAGAGACGCATTGCTCGACACCTCCTTTGAACACGTGGACGGCTTTGACTTTTTCATTTGACCCCGTGGTCCTGCGGTAGGAACGGGGGTTTGCTTTCCGCTGACGTACTCAGGCTGCTAACGCATTCACGCCTTCAGCCGAAAAATATTTTACGACTGCACTCGCACGAGCTGCATTGGCCCCACTGCCAGTAGCAGCGGTGTATTGGCCACACTGTGGCCCGTGCTGATGCCCCCTTTGCGCGCATCTGCGGGATCAGATCCAATTTTAGACCCACAACTGCCAGCAGGCTTTTTTCACCGAATGATTATGATGTGCTCCTTAGGTTTCTGTTTTCTAATTATTTTTTTACAATTATCGGAGGCTGCTTAATCACCCAGTTGCGATCTACACCAACAGCTCAAATTGGTCAGTGTTGTAAATGTGGTTCATTCGTGGCGAATTTCACTCACGATCAGTAGCTATCTATCAAATGGAATGAAGCAGTGCAAATTGGAAGGTGCTCCTATCGATGAATGGCATTGCAGCTCAGAGCTTTAAAAAAATATCCACACTTTGAATGAGTCCAGCCTGTGATGTTCCGGTTGAAACCACAGCAATCCTTTGAAGACCAAAATCTGGGTTTTCCCGCACGACACAGGAATGGATCAATGAGAGTGCGACTCTGTTTGGGGATTTTAGGGCGAATGGAAAACTTGACTGAGATTGCCAGGGTTGGGACTTTAAGGACCATTTGGGAATCAGGGTAACACCTCTCTCGTGGATACCAGGACTTTGTGGGACATCGCCGGCTGCCGTTCGTTGGAGAAAATTACATTTGCCATAAAAATGTGGAATTTACACAACAGGGATGCAAGCCACTTCATTACTCATTCGTGCAGGAAGATCCTTTGATTTTGACAAAAACACAAGTTCACAAACTGAAGTTGGAAGTGAATGTTTACATTCAACACTTATCATTAACGCTGCAATGACTGACACACTTCTTATTAAAGCACTCTTGCGGTATTGAATTGAAATGCGGTGCTCAGCGAAACGCGAAGCATGACTATCAAAGGTCGCCGCATGCCACATGCAGACAAGAACATTTACTTTTAGCGTGAAATCCGTCCATGCCTTCTAACAAAGTGGTCACGCTCCTCATTGGGAGCCGCCACGGTCTATTTTCCCCCATCGACTTTTAGAATTGAGCTGCCATCCAATCGCTTGTTACTATGAACGCTCACCCGCAAGGCAGCAAACACCTCTTTCATGTGTGTTCTCATCGCAGCCTTTTGCCTGGTTGTGTTTCACGGGTTGTGTGGGTGCACGCTCGCGTAACTTACGCACCAAAGCTCGCAAAGCTTATGATCTCGGAGAAATCATGGCCGCGCTGAGTCTCTTCGGGGTCACCGTTGCCTCGCTTGCCCCTCTTCGTGTGGTGCAACTTGTCCACCGCAGCGAGCATCGCCAGCCGTGGAATGGGACGAATGGTGGTCGGCCTCTCGTGGAGTCCCAGTTTGTTGAGGATATGTCTTTTCACTGCCTCTACGAGCAGCGCCTCTCCCTGCTTCTCCTCCACGCGACGCAGAAAGGCCATGTCACAGGACGGGCAATCGTGCTTGTCAAGCTTTGATTTTGCGGTGACTCCGACTTCGGCCTTGGCCCAGGTACTGACCTTGGCCGCCAGGTCAGAGCGACCTTGTGTGGCCACTTGCGGGTCGAGAGGAGAGCCCACGGTGCACGCGGTAACCAGGAAAGCAAACGCAATGCCCGTGCGCGTGTGCATCTTGCGGCTTGCCACGATCCGCGCCTCGCACCTGGGGCCACGCATCTTCTTAAGCCGCGAGAACTCACCACAGGCGTAGGAGCAACTTCTATCCAGGTGTGCCACCGTCAGCGAGTAGCTAGTTCTGCAGAGTGAGCAGACAGCCGGTGCTGCGGTTAAATATATATGCCCTCACGCATGTAGAGCTGTCTCTTGCTGCAGAGTGGCAAAGGATAAATTATGTCAAATAGGCGAGAGCCAAATGTGTTTTTCTGGCAGAGCAGTCCTCAAGTATGTGCCAGCATTGCGAAACACCATGGATGGCCTCCATGTCGCATCACAGGGAACGCTGATTTTGCGGTTGGTTCAACAGATGTGGAGGCTGGTGGAAATTAGGGTTATGTAGAATTGCTATTACACTGGCTGTATTGTACGTGCTCCATTTCTGGCCAAAAAAAAGGTATTGCTTGAAAGTAAGTTTCAGGACATTTTAAAAGTTGCACTTGTGCATAACTTGTAAGAGTGCACTCATGCGCATACAGTAAGGCAAAAAAGTATTTGATCCCCTGCTGATTTTGTACGTTTGCCCACTGACATATAAATGATCAGTCTATAATTTTAATGGTAGGTTTATTTGAACAGTGAGAGACAGAATAACAACAAGTAAATCCAGAAAAACGCATGTCAAAAATGTTATAAATTGATTTGCATTTTAATGAGGGAAATAAGTATTTGACCCCCTCTCAATCAGAAAGATTTCTGGCTCCCAGGTGTCTTTTATACAGGTAACGAGCTGACATTAGGAGCACACTCTTAAAGGGAGTGCTCCTAATCTCAGCTTGTTACTTGTATAAATGACACCTGTCCACAGAAGCAATCAATCAATCAGATTCCAAACTCTCCACCATGGCCAAGACCAAAGAGCTCTCCAAGGATGTCAGAGACAAAATTGTAGACCTACACAAGGCTGGAATGGGCTACAAGACCATTGCCAAGCAGCTTGGTGAGAAGGTGACAACAGTTGGTGCGATTATTCGCAAATGGAAGAAACACAAAAGAACTGTCAATCTCCCTCGGCCTGGGGCTCCATGCAAGATCTCACCTCGTGGAGTTGCAATGATCATGAGAACGGTGAGGAATCAGCCCAGAACTACTCGGGAGGATATTGTCAATGATCTCAAGGCAGCTGGGACCATAGTCACCAAGAAAACAATTGGTAACACACTACGCCGTGAAGGACTGAATTCCAGCAGCGCCCGCAAGGTCCCCCTGCTCAAGAAAGCACATATACATACCCGTCTGAAGTTTGCCAATGAACATCTGAATGATTCATAGGACAACTGGGTGAAAGTGTTGTGGTCAGATGAGACCAAAATGGAGCTCTTTGGCATCAACTCAACTCGCCATGTTTGGAGGAAGAGGAATGCTGCCTATGACCCCAAGAACACCATCCCCACCGTCAAACATGGAGGTGGAAACATTATGCTTTGGGGGTGTTTTTCTGCTAAGGGGACAGGACAACTTCACCGCATCAAAGGGACGATGGACGGGGCCATGTACCGTCATATCTTGGGTGAGAACCTCCTTCCCTCAGCCAAGGCATTGAAAATGGGTCGTGGATGGGTATTCCAGCATGACAATGACCCAAAACACACGGCCAAGGCAACAAAGGAGTGGCTCAAGAAGAAGCACATTAAGGTCCTGGAGTGGCCTAGCCAGTCGCCAGACCTTAATCCCATAGAAAATCTGTGGAGGGAGCTGAAGGTTCGAGTTGCCAAACGTTAGCCTCGAAACCTTAATTACTTGGAGAAGATCTGCAAGGAGGAGTGGGACAAAATCCCTCCTGAGATGTGTGCAAACCTGGTGGCCAACTACAAGAAACGTCTGACCTCTGTGATTGCCAACAAGGGTTTTGCCACCAAGTACTAAGTCATGTTTTGCAGAGGGGTCAAATACTTATTTCCCTCATTAAAATGCAAATCAATTTCTAACATTTTTGACATGCGTTTTTCTGGATTTTGTTGTTGTTATTCTGTCTCTCACTGTTCAAATAAACCTACCATTAAAATTATGAACTGATCATTTCTTTGTCAGTGGGCAAACGTACAAAATCAGCAGGGGATCAAATACTTTTTTCCCTCACTGTATACTCTGCAATTTAATTCGTATACATTGTTCCAATAACTGTTAGACGATCACCTGCATCAAAGGAGTCATAAAATATTACATACGCAGTCGTCTGGTAGAGATATGCACATGTCAGAAGTATTTTACGGAAAATCCAGGCTGAGGTTACAATGGTCTTAAATTATGGACATCTGTCTCCAGTTGTAAGTGTGCACCGTGCATCCTAGAAATCGTGTTACTCTATTAAAGATGAAACAGCGAGGCGTTGGCTGCTCAATACATTTCCAAGTTTAAGCAACATTTCTTCCATACTTCTCAGGTGACTCTGGCCCTCTTGTAGGAATATTCACGTAAATCTTCGACACGCAGCTGGTGGCCGATTAAAAAAAAATGTGGTTTGATTTAGAACATAGTTATTTGTATGAATTCACACTCTCCTAAAATCATCACAAGAACCGTGCTAAAGGAATTTGTCGCGGCCCATGCAAGCTGCCCCCCCCCCTCCTCCGCCCCCTCTCCCCCCCCCCCCGAGTTTCGCCCCCCACTACCGGGAGGCTACACTGGGGCAAGACGGGGAGAGTGACAGGAGATGGAGAGCCCCAGGGTGAGTGAGGGGCAAGGCGTGATGCAGTGCAGAATGGCCCTGCGGTTGTCTCGAATTTAATGCTGAGAGGGTGGAACATAAGGCAGGCAACCTCAATCCACCCCCAGTGCGTGCTGCCAGTGCCTCGGGGCGACGCGGTGCATCCGAGGAGCGCGACCCTGGGCTGCGGGAGGGGCAAAAGAGGGGCGCACAAGAGTTGCGGCCTGATGCCATGTGGGAACCCTACCTCGCCTGAAAAAAGCACGCGAGGTGCCATCTTCTGCAGTTTTGGTGAAAAGACGATCCGGGCTATGAGGTCTGCTGAGCTCGGGGAGCAGATAAGTGATGGACAGGAGTGTGAGTCATAGAGCGCCTGCGATGGGCATATTCAAACCGTTGCTGTCAGTGTACAGGAAGTTCCAAAGCATTGAGACAGCTCTACTAAAGATCACTGATGACCTCTGCAAGATCATGGATGACCGGTCTGCCACAATGTTGGTTGGCCTCGATCTCTCAGCCGCCTTCAACACCATCGACCATGAAATGAGATACTCATCGGGTAGCTCAGGTCAAGGTTCAGTGTATAGAGTATGGCACTGGGGTGAATTGAGTGATATCTACATGGTCGATCACAGTTTGTCAAGCTGGGTGAAAAACAGTGATTGCCTATGCCGTAACTAGGGGTTCGTCCTCGTATCCTTTCTATTTTCAATATACGTCTCTCCAATCGCTGATGTCATCTCATCGCCTGACATCAAGTTCCATCAATATGCTGATGAAACATAATTGTACATCGCAGGGAAGTCAAGTTAGATATTAAGAGCCTCGGTAACCTTGAAGATTGCACGCAAGCGGTGCACGTGTGGTTTGCACAAACAAAATGCTGCTCAATCCAAAAAAATCAGAGGTTCTGCTGGTTGGCACTCAGGCTGAGGCGAAACAATTATGGGAGGAACAGGCGTGGCGATCACAGACACCGGGATTCAGTTTTCTACTGATCAAAAGAGCCTCGGCACCATACTCGACCAAAATAAGTTGTTTGATCACCACGTGCAAAATATAGTCAGATACTGCAATTTTCATATCCGGGCTCTATGATACTATCGAGTCACGATGGCGTATGCCATAGTATCGACAAGGCTCGATTATTGCAAATCACTCCTCTACGGGATGTCTGGCAAAAAAATTCCCAACCTGTGGCGTGTACAAAATTTTCTGCCACGTGTCGTGATGAGTATTGCAAGATCAGACCATGTCCATCTAGTGCTCACCGAGCTACATTAACTTCCCAGCCACAAATTTTATTTCAACGATGTGGTTTATCATGTGAAAATGTATAGCAGCCAAATACTCTAAACGTGATTACAAGGGCTGATTAGAGTATTTGGAATATGGGGAGGACGTGTAAACTCCAAATATACGGGCGTCAGGGTTGGGATCGAACCCACGACCTGTATACCAGGTTAGGCAGTTAACAACTTGTAATGTAACACAGTCAACACGCACAATGCAAATGTTCACATTGCTGCGTGCATCAAGCCGCCCACTCATGAACGTTAGACAGACGCCTAGGTGGCAAAGCATTAACGTTAGAGTGACAGGCTGGGAAATCAGTGTCAGGGGCTAGCGCTGGGTGTGAGTGCGGTCTTGCGGGAAGACGAGTAGAGACGGGGGTTTTGTGTTGAGGTGAAATTAAAAATAAAGTGTACACACACGAAATGGAGAGCGACTTAGCATACTTTAGTACAATAACATGGGCAGAAATCATGTAGAATTAGTGAAACAAAGAGAGAGGGGTTGATAATTTCCAACCCAGGAATGTAACCCTATTTCTCATAAGGTAAATTATTTTTAGAAATCATTTTTGTCCAACACGGCATTGTCCAAGCCCCTACATTCAGCAAGGTCTGCCTCTGCTGCAGTTTTGGTAATAAACCTGGGCTGGCTGAGACATTTATCTGGGTTTGGTCTCCAGTGGAAAAGGTGGCGACCCTAACCCATCCACCCATATTCCCTCCACATTTAGAAATATGCGTTCAGATTATTGCTATAATATTTTCACGTGATAAGCCACTTCGCTCAGCTATCATTTGTGCCCAGGTCACTTCTGAAAAATAGATAATAGTTCAGTATGCTTTACCTGGTAAAAATAAAATAGTAAAAAATATATAAACGCGCCAAAATAGTATTCTTTATTCATTTATTTCATCATAAAATGCACGAGTCATCGCTTATAGATATTTTTTTTAAGTAAAAAAGTCAATCTGAACAAATATGATGCTTTCTGATTGTGTAGGAACTGTGATAACCAGTGGTTTAAATTCACAACAGCGAGCAACAGGTAGCCGTTATGAATCCCTGTGCAAAAGTAATTTCACAATCACGCTTTTATTAAAAAAAAATCTAGCAATAAGGCTAAGTAGTGTGAGTTTGATCTCTTAGCCATATGACGCAAATGGGACAAACCTAACCTCAAAAGGTCAAAACTAAGCCAAACGCCTAGGCTCTTCAACACACTGTTGACAGGAAAAATATTTCCAGGATCATCCCATGCATCAGAGATGGACAGCATGGTTTTATTTATGTTTACGTTTAAGCCATCGACATTCACCTACAATTAGTCTAGCATGCAGTCAGTATCAATTAGCAAATACACCTGGATGTCATTATAACGTGTTTGAATAGACTCAAAACACTCCTACAGTGCTATATAGCGCTATTAAATAAATATTTAACAGTCCAGGGCCAAGGCCCGGAGCTCTGTGATTCTCCAGAAAAGGACCACAAATAGAGTCAGATTTTTCCCAATATATATACAAAATTAGGTCGGACAACGAGGTATGGATGAAATTGGTGAGATAATTTTTCATTAGAGTGATCTGGTTTGACCCGCTGAGTTTTACCCGAGTACCAAAGTCATTTTACAGTGCCTTCGTTTATCATGAACCTGAGGAACTTACTTCTGCTGTTGTCTGTAAAGTTCAGGTTACTCAGCCATCTGCCCCGTGTGTGTAGAATCTGGATAACGTTTCTCATCCCGGAATTTCAATATAGTTTTCTAGCACCACACCGTGTTCATTCTTGGGTGCTACACGTGAAAGACTATCCATCAATGGAGGAATTTAAAATCAATGTCCACGAAACACGGAGACGTACAACATACATTTTGTACATTGTTAGGACGAGTGCCTTTATCGAAGCACCAAATGAGGTGTGCAAGACACGTGAGTGGGGGGGCACCACACGTAAGTCACGTGTAGAATACCCACGTGCAGTGGCAGCAGGGTGCCTGTGCACAACAACCATGCATGCAGGCTGTGCAGTTTAAGTGTTCTTCACTCGTGCACATGTATTTCCTCCAGACACTCCGGTTTCCCGCATACATACTAAAACAAAGTCATCAGGGTTAAATATGGCCAAGTAGTACACGCCACAGTCTAAGGCTTTGCTGAATAAAAAAAAGTCTAAAGTCAAGTCATGGGTCAAATCAAGCAAGCATGGGATTGTACTCAACTCTGATGATGGTCTTGAGCCAGTGTTGACAATTCTACATTCCCATGGTGGGGGCCAGTCTACCCATGGGACAATCACTGTTGAATTTTCACACAGTGGTGCTTATTTTATTTCCCCCCAGAGGAATGCTTGGCTGAGATGACCCCAGACTAGGATTTGACCTCATCACTTTCTTCTGTCAACTGCTTTTAACTTACCGCAGCACCACCTAGCTGAACTGTTTTGCGTTCACAATTAGTTGAAATCGACCACGTTACAGCACACATGAGCCGTGCGCCTTCTGGGCATGCGCGAAACAGTAGCGCGCCAACGCGCATCACAAGGATTCGGCTCCCCTTGTGCAGCAGGGCAGCCGTGGCCAGCGCCACCTCCTGACTCCTCCACACAGCCTTAAGGCAAGCCACACCTCGGGGCAATACACGTCCTCGCCACTGGCCAGTGAGCGTTCGCTCCGCAATTGGGCGGGGCTTCTCACCGTGCTTCCATCAGAATAACACCGTTGCGACAGCGTGCAGTGTTTAACCCTCTGGCCGTTTGGCTGAAGAACGTGCTGTCCACCTTGGTGGTTGACGTGACTAAAGATCTCTACTCCTACTCGGTTGGATGACGCTGATGATGGAAAGTGCCTTCCCTCCGTCTCACTGGTGGAGGTGTTAGTTCCATATCCCTGCTCCTTTCTTGGCTTCACGGCATCTGGGCTGGGTTGTGAAGGTTCGCTGGCCGGAGTGACCTGTGTGTCCACCGTGGAAAACTCCAGGTTCTCCAAGCCGAGGTCGCTGCTCATCTCCGGTGTGTCAATGCACGAACTACCTGCAATGGGGTCGTCATTGACACCATGCTCAACGTTTTATGAAGTTTAGGCAACGTATTATGTGAGTGGTATTTTGCCTTTATTTAGGCCAGGGGTCGTCAACCTTTCAGATAAGAAGAAGAGCCATTGTTTTTAGTTTTTTTGTCTTTGACCAAATTAGTTCGAGAGCTGGATCACAAGCAGAGCGACTTGTACACAAACACAGCAGCAGGTATACAGAAGATAAAAAAAACAAATTCTGACTTAAATAAACAAAACAGGTGATGGAATAAACTGCGTATATTTAGTTTTTTCCCCCCTTAGCTATTCTTTCACAATAATTTGACTGTACATGTGATCAAGATATTCCATAGTGACCAATTCCCTGCCATATTTAATCAATTATGTTTAAGATTTTTTTTACAAAAAACGGCTACACGCTTGGGGGGCAGCCAAAGAGCCGCAAGGGGGGGGGGAGCCAAAGAGCCACCGCATGCAGCCCCGGAGCCTCAGGTTTCCGACTCCCTAATTTAGGGCAAGGGGAAAAAAGTGCAGCCTTGAAATTGCTTCCTCGTGCCACTGCAATGGTCCTCTATAGAGGGAACTCGAGTTCCTGGCAATAGCATAGTCTGGCCTACCAGTTCGACGATAGAGTGCTCTGGCCTACCAGTTGGGCGATAGAGTGCTCTGGCCTACCAGTTGGGTGATAGAGTGCTCTGGCTTACTAGTTGCACACTCTGCCGATGTCTTGGAAGAGATGGGAGTAACCCGCACTTTACCCCACTGCTCACACTGATTGACTGCTGTGTTATCCATTTATACTGCTGGGTTACAGAGTGTCTAAATCAGTGGTTCTTTGCTGCAGCCTTGCACCGCTTTGGTTCTCAATCATAAAAAATGTATGTTAATAAATACATATGTTTGATGAAACAACGTAGTTGTACTTATGTGCTCATGCTTTATTTGTTTCGATGATTTGCATTCTAAAAAATCTGTAATGTCTCACACCCCCAGAAAAGGCATCTCGCACTCCAAGGGGGGTGCGTGCACCCGAGGTTAAGAATCAGTGGTGTAGATCCTGCTCCTTGCTATCAGGAGGTTGTGAGTTTAAATGCAGGTGATGGATTGACTCAGCCCTTCATGCCTATAAGGTTGATACAATGAGTGCTGTAGCACTTTCTGGGAAGTCAACAATGATTGTCCAATGGATGGGCTCATCACTGCCATATAAATGTAGAATTTACACCATGCCCTAAATAAGATATTTACACCCATGTTCGTTTGAGCAGAAAACAACGTTTGATTTTGACTTTGTTTTGCAGAAGACGAAGTTGAAATCACAAAAAATCGTTCCTGCAGAAACATCTGTGACTGAGATATTGTCAGGGTAATCGAGTTTTCAGGTCCATACGGCGTACACCCGTTTGAATAGGAGTAAAAATAAATTGTCAATTTTGACTTAAACCTTTCGTGACTGCAGGAATTTACGGTAAAGTCACGTAGATAGGTTCAAATAACCTATCTCCGTGACTTGAACCTATCTACGTGACTTTACCAAAATACCCAAATAATATAAATTGTCAATTTGTTTGTGTTTCTCCCTTGTGATGGGACTTGGTAGGATGAACATTGAGATTTATAAGGGTACTGGGTGACCAATAAGGTCTGAGTTGGTCTGTAAAAAGGTAGCCACTGATAAAAATGGTTGACTGGTATGAAGTCGGATTAATATGAGATAAACGTCTTTCCAGGTAGACATTGTTTTCTTTAAGTAATTTTATTTAACAATTCATTGGTCGTGTGTGGTGAAGTAACGTGTCGGAACTTTCACCACTTCCAAAACAAAATCTCGCCAGTGTTGAAGAGTAGACGAGGGACTATAGAGGGGATCTCTAGAGCTTCCTCTAGTGTTGTCTCTTCCGCCAGCAGTGACATGAGCTAGCAATTTCAGGGCTGTACCTTGACCTTTCATTCAATCGATCGTTTCCTATTGAATGCACGACTATAATCAGAAAACAAATGATACTGATTCCGGAGTATTATAAGTGCAGACAATGTATCCGTCATATATCTATCTCTGATTGCTTAGTCAAGGTGTGAAGGTTCCTTGATTCTCCATGCAATGAAGGGAGTAATCGTCCCTTGCAGAACCGTGTTGCCGTCTAATTGAAACGTGTCAAATGATACTGTTGATTTCACCATTGCTGTGGGATTATTATTTTTAAACAACTTAATCCAATTGTTTCATATAGTAGTTTGCTTGTGTTAATATAGAAGTACCTTCAGTTTAAGTTGGTTGTATTAATCTATAATTAATATTGAAGCCTCTCAGGTTTTCAATATAATGTTTCGTTACTTATTTTATGTTCGTGTAATTTTTGTGAAGCGCCTTGAGTTACAGGAGAACATTAGATGCTATCGGTATTTGTTTACGCGGGTAATATATATTCAACCTTCAGCTGTTTTACAAGAATGACTGACGGAGGACCTTGGTGACAAAAATGGGAATTTTCAGCCGTGAATAAATCAAAACGTTCACAGACCGAGTAGCAAACAACTTTTGGGTGGAGAACAACATTAAAGTCATGCACCACTCAAGCCACACGGCGAATTAGAACAACAATTCGCGTGGGGTTCGCTAACCATGTGTGCAAAAACAGGAATATCTTAAATCAAGGAATGAGTTTTAAAAAAGCCAGGGAAGGGCAGAGCAGGGCAGGGCTGTCCATAGGGAGGGGGGGGGGGGTGGGGCCTGGGGCAAACTTCACCGTGTGCCCCACCCCCGATGTCTTCAAACTAAGTATTACATCTGACACAGTGACATCGAAGGGTGTTGCCTGGTGCAATCGCCTCGATTATGCCATATCCTAGGGACGGCTCTGGGCAATTGATGCATTTAACACAGGGTGTGAATGTGTGTGCTGTGTGGTAGGTCTTCCTTTTGCAAGGGGTGCTTTGCAAAGACTGCGGCACTCACAGCAGCGGCCACCGAGCAGATGTGCGGCGGCCATCTCCGAACGGGTCGGAGGGCGCCGCGGCTGCCGGAGGAGACAGCGCACGGCCTCCTCCGCCTGGAGGAAGATGGGCAGCGCCAAGACCTGACCACAGGGTACGGGGCCCAGGGCGCAGGCCTCGGAGGCCATGAAGTCGCGAACGGCCCACAAGTCTTGGCGCAGCTGCAGACCTCCCTGCACACTGGTGGGACACCACACTTTTGGTTTATCATTGGTGCCAGTCGGACGGAATGTCGAGATGTCTGCTCTCCTCTCAGTAGCGGTGTTGACGAAAGCTCGTTTTGTTTTTAATGAAGCCCCGCTACTTGAAGTGTAGGTTCACCAAAACAGACGATTGGGATCTGTACTGTGTATGTTACGACAACAAATAGGTAGAGGTGCAGTAATGCAATTGCTTGTTCACACCACTTCTGGCGGTAGGGCCTCCACTTGCGGGAAATTAAGACAGCCTGTCTATAGGGTATTTGGCCTACTCTTCCAGACTGGCCAGACCTCTGTGAAGAGAGGTGGGAGTACTCACACTTTACCTTATCTGAAACATAAAAAACACTTTTATTTTACCAGCTCTTTTTCAGAAGCAACCTGGCCACAAATGATTGCTCAACAAAGTGGCTTATCAAGCGAAAATGTATAGCAGCCAAATACTCTAAACAGGTGATGTTGCTTCTAAATGTGGAGGGAAAACCCGAAGGACCCAGAAAAACATCCACGTGATCACAGGGCGAGAGAACGTGCAAACTCAGGGTCGGGATGGAACCCATGATCTGCTGTATACCAGGCGAGGTAATTAACATCTCACCACTGTGGCCCCTGTGGTGAGATGTTGGCCAGACACCTCCAGCTGACCATCCCACAAACCCGATCCCTCCCAGTTATTCCGCCGCTACCTGAAGACAATTCTGCTGCGCACAATGTGCTCCATCCAGGCGTGCAGCAGGGCGGAGCAGGCGAGGCCCATGGGCTGCGCCTGTCTTTCGGCCTCCAGCGGCCGAAGAGCCTCGGCCACCGGTTGCAGCACGGTGGCTACCAGGGCCAGCATGTACGCACTGAGCCCCTCCGCACACCCAGCACCTATGGACGTGCGAAGCGCTCAGTTCCGCAATGCGGTTACGGGTTGTACCGTGCATTGAACAACAGAAAGGTAAAAGTGGACTTTATCTGTATGGTATTCCTTCGTTATTCACGAACTTGCTGTCCGCGATTTTGGCTGTCCACGAATTCCACCTGGAACTCTACATGACTGCATCGAGAGAGAGGAGAGCGAGACAGAAAGTGATGAGATAAAGTGACGAGAGAGAATGTGATGCGAGAAAGTTTTGAGATAAAGTGATGAGATAAACTGATGAGATAAAGTGATGAGCTAAAAAGATGAGTGAGATAGAGAGAGAAAACTTCTCAAAGCTCTCGAAGCATTTGCAGACATTGCACGTACGACATTCATAAGGCCAACATAATTTTACACACAATTTACGATTCATGAGCATCCTCGGAATGTACATTATCCCTCGCGAATAACGAGGAGATACTGTACTGGTTTTGCCTTGTCATTTTGGTGACCGAGGTCACTGTTGCAAATGAGTCTCTATCCTGGTCATGTTAATCTTTCTTTTCTTTTGGTGAAAACTATAGTGTCCAGAAGGAAAAAAAAGCATACAGCACGGATTTTTACTGGCTACACTGCTACCGTAGGACTTCTGCTACACTTGCAGCTGTTTAATGAATGTGTAGTGACGCTGATCAGAGACAGTAATACTTCTTTTATTTAACAAGCACCATCGGGATAATACACACCCTACGTGGGTGCACACTATTATAATTAAGACCGTCTATTGTCAGCAGCACTACTTAGAATAGTTGGTAGGCTGTCTGACTAACACCACCCCGGGATGGTGAAGACGGAGACGACGACGAGGAGATGGTGACGAGATGTTGATGACGAAAATCTTGAACAGCACGACAGGGATCCTCCTTCCAGCAACAGGCCTGAGCTCCCGCTCAGGGCATCCTCTTATACTCCCAGCATGGCCTTGTTCCGCCCTGGCCACGCCCCCCTTCTGGAACCTACTAGCCGGTTCCCGGGGCTTCCTGATGGGGCCCTTCTATGACCTTTCCCCTAGATGCCCCCCTCTGTATATATGGTGGCATGCTGACGCGAGTACTGCCGTTCACCGCAGTTACCCTCTTCCGCCAGCAGCCAGCGCTATACCACTACAAATGTAATGGTCTCTACATGATTCAATCAATTAAAGACTTGTGCCACCACACCCAGTCATTTTCTTTCGCAGCAATGGGAAGTGTGGTTTAATTACGGAAGTGGACCAATATTTATATTTGGGATTTGTGCTACAGCGCCCACATACTATATGTCCTACTCTTGTGGCCAATATCATTGCAACCGTCCATATCTGTGTTGCAGCACAGGCCACATTGATCACGTGGGCGGCTGAAAGAACCCAAACACTGCAAAATCTGTCAAAACTTATTGGGTGTTTCACTGCGACCGCAATGTTCTATGACTTTCAGTATTGACTCTCAACTTGCTCCTGTGTTCTAAACATTGCATGTTAATGCTGCGTAAAACATCCTTTGCTATTAAAACTCAACGTTTGCCCAAGAGGAAATTATATATTACATTTTTGAAGCAGCACGTATGGATGTATGTTGCATTTCTTTCGCACCGTGCATAGCCAACTGTGCTAATCGGAGGTGCGGGGTAAGGACAACAAACGAATTTTAAAAAAGCAGCTCTAAAGCAATTTGTTTTCAATCTAGGTTTAGCATGACACAGGCATAGAGTCATTGTGGGCCCTTACTGAGATCACTGCTGATCCTCCACTGCCTTCGGTCTGGCATGGTCTGGTCCAATGTCTCCCGAGACAGCTTTGTGCAGTCGCTCACAAAGTGCCGGAGGGCTTCATCCAACACGGCCTGGAAGACACGTAAGTGCAGGACATTGTATGTGAAAAAGCATGGGGCTGAATTGACCTCTTGCATCTCCCACGGTTATCCAGAGGGTATGACTCAATGTTCATTCAAAACCCTCAGGAGTTTTTTGTTGCTGGAATGTGAATCCGAATTGTGATGGCTCTCTTTTAAATGACATTGGATTGCCTGCTTGCTCATGGGGCATGTATTTGTTGTATTTGTATGCAGTAATTCTCGCTTTTTTTCGTGTTTTATCCCAATGTACAGTATATAACATATCCAGGTCTTGCTTATGAATATTTTTTGTATTGCTACAGCGCTCATGGTCAATAGACTTCAGCTTATATTTGCGCTTTATGATATGAACATAATAAAAACTAAGAATTAAACTTGGAAATATTATTTAAATTGCTTTAACATTCAAATATCTCTGTAGCACTGCTCTTGTTCTCAGTCCTGTAAACTGCAGTTATATAGCAATGGGATGTTAATAAGTTAATTGTAATCCACAGCCCGTTTCAATCCCCTGTTGGAGGAATGCCTCCCTATGCTTTGTCAATCATCGTGGTTACATGACCATATTTCACCATGTTGGTCAGTGCGGGTTGATGAAAGGAGCGGGCAGACACAATTCTCAGCCATGCCACAATGTGCTATGAATTGCGTGACCTGAGTTCAATTCCCAGCGGCTGGGACTTGGAACTTCGGTCACCCGGTTCAAGTCACCCGGTGCACTGTGCCACACCACTGCACCGCACCGCGTTGGCCCCAGTGGGCCTTTGTATCGTTCAAAATTAATTACGTAGACTTTATGGAGGCACTTGTAAAGGTGATTCAGCTTAAAGGTTTCACATTTTGGTGTATAGCCCTAGTTTTGACAGATTTTGGAAATTTTTGTTAAATTGTCAATCACTTTTAAAATCACTGGTTAAATAGAACCAACTTTAAATTAGTTTTTTTATTTTAAATATGAAACAATAATTTCGTTTGAAAAAAAAACAGCCATTCCAATTTATTTAAATATAAATAATGACAACAAAAACGTGAACAATGATTAGTTTTACAATAAAACAAAAAAATTGCGTCACCACGTTTACCCGCAAATGTGTTGTTGATCGTTGTAGCTGCTGAATAATCCTCTGTGACGTTTGCTGCTGCTGCTGCCTTTCAAAAGCCTCACACGTGGCTTGAGCCAGGGACAGAAACTCTGCACTCACTTCTATGAAGTCCTAGAACACAGCGCAACACGACATCAGCCAGCTGCGTTACGTTGAACACTACGCCACAGCATCAGCCTAAGTTATGTTGAGGTCCGTATGTATACAATTCCCTAACAATTTGCTGCGTATGTTTGTATGTATGTTTAAATTATATCACACCATACGTAGTCAAGCGTGCTAATCAGAGGTCCGGGGGTGGGGGGGGGAAGGAAAACAAACTAAATGTAAAGTACGAATGTGCTACATATGTAATTTTTTCAAATTGTTATGATGTATCATCATCATTACAATCTATGGGCAGATAGCCCATTTGTTTCCACTTTCCTCCATCTTGTGCCAATATGCTCAAGTGGTGCCACTCTTCTTACGAGCATATTCTTCTTACGTCGTCGTCAAGCCATTCTCTGTGAGATCTTCATCTCTTTCCGATTCCTTCCTTTTTCCGAACAACACACTTTTCATACTCTTTGTTTCGGTAAAGTCACGTAGTTCGAAATAAAATAAAAACAAATCACGACGTTTCGATTGCAACACAAGCAATCATAATCAGGTGGGAAAACCACAGCAATATTTTTTTGCTGAAGTGGGAGAGGGATGACGTGGTAAAAGGTTATATAGGTAAGAGAGGGGGGAGGGGCAAGAGGGGAGAGAGAGGGGGGTGTGGGGTAGGGGGAGGGGAGCGTTGCGTAGACGCTCGGGGAGGGACGTGAAGCTGGACGGGGGGAAGTGGGCTGGGCTGGAAGTGGGAGGCCGAGAGAGCTGTGGATGTACAGAAATGGCTTTAAGTACAGTATTAACAACGATTTGTATATTTTTATGTCACTAAATTACAGTGACAAACATAACACGAAGTATGATTTACATTGCAAAAATCTTTTTATTAATGATCTATATTTTATTCCATAAAGAAATTGACATGTGTAATCGTATAAAAAACATTAACTGCTGCAATATCTCTTCTGAGAATAATCACAACTTTTGAAATGTTTTTTTTAGAGCCTGACAGCTCCCACATCAATTATATTCTAAAAGACTGCCTGTAAACACACTGCACGTGGCTAAGTGAAGCTACACCCGACAAAGACTACAAATTCAGAAGAAATGTTTTAAAACACCCTCGTTTGCTCATCTATGGCAAATATCTGATTCAACTGTTGTCGAAATATCTGTTTTTTGTTGTTTCAAATGTGGTGACCCATGCCAACCAACCACACACTCACTGGCCTAAATGTCGGGTTGTTGGATCTTGATGAGATCACATGTGTGAAAAACCCAGATGCAGCGGTATAAAAGTTCCTGCAGGAAGTGGCATAACAGCAAGTTGTGTTTTGGCCTATTTGTGCAGAGTTTGAGGACCCAATTCATGAAACTATTTTTTCCAAAGACTCCCACTACTATATTTGACAGAATGAAGGCCATTTATGCGGAAACAGACCCTTTTCACACTTTAGGAACAAGAACATTATTATGCAGTGAAGTTAGTTCTTAAGTAAAATTGGTTTAAGACATTAAGTGCATACCTTGAGATCGCCCTGTGTGATTAGGAAAAATCTCTGTAGGGACCAAGTAGCCAGAAAACGGGAAGCTTGCGTTGACAGCCAATGGGACGCAGACGTCAGTGTGGCGACCGCTCGCTCAGTGATGCCCCGCAGGACTGGTTCACTGGCAACTGGAGCGTGTTCGCGACTGGTGAAGCTTTCTAGAGGAAGCAAAAAAATACCTTTGTGAGGTGAACAGTGCAGCACCTATTGCAATTTAAAAGTTTCAAATACCACCGTTAATGTCGATGTTGCCTGTTTTGAACCGGAGGAATTATTCTTAGTTTGGAAAAGGAGTATTAAGCCCAATTAGAAAACGATAAGAGGGATGATCTGGTTATTTGATGATTGTGGACAGGGCTGCACATTTCTCTATAACTCAGGAACATGAAACTTCCATTCACCATGCTGTAGTGGCATTCTCATTTACACAGCGATAACATTTTTACTTAACAACTTTGTTTGGCAACGTTCTTCAGAAATGGGATGTGAAACCCTGGCACATTGACCCATAAGCAACCGCACTGCGGGCCACCACTTACAAAACTGTACTTGCAGCCCATTACACTGTGTAACAATTAAAAAAAATGTTCCTGGGTAGTAAGTTTATTTCCTAACTGGTTATGCATCAAAAGTACAGAAAATGGCTATTATTCCCCACAAACTTTGCTTTTGTGACCAGGACATTGATATTTTGAAATTTACCTATTTTCCAGAACATTCCAGATATATTCAGTGCTGAGTAAACTTGGAGTAACTTCTAGAACATTCTAGAACTTTCCAGTAATAAAAATAGTAGTATAAATACAGGGGCCTTAAGCCCACCAGTTCAGTTTAGTTCCAGCTGCCTAAGTGGATACAAATCTGCATTTTTCGGAGATGGCATCAAGAGGCTGCAAGCATCTGACGGACGCATTTTGCTATGTCTGTGGCCAATTTATCAAGACAAGAGCGAAAGTACTCTGTGGAAGCATCTGCTAAGATGTGTGAGGCCTACAAGACAAACCCTGGGCACATTGCACCTGCGAGCACTGCAAAAACACAGGAAGGTAAGATGGACAATTTTTGCACGGAATTTTACGTTATAAAATTTGTTAAAACTTTTTAAAATTGAAAAGGTTTTTAATTTTAAAATGTTTTACAATTTTTTAATGTTATTGAAAAAAGATATCATTCAAAAGAAAGGTTTTTGGGTTAGATCGCGTTATTTATAAATGTGTCGTAACCCTCCACCACCCGACACGGCCAATCGGCAAAAAAAAAAGTGTCACGTTGACAAAAGACAAATAGTTCGCTACTTTAGCCCACCGGTGTGTTGAAGAGTGAATCCACAACATTTACAGTTTGAGTACGACGTTTCGCTGGTAATTACATCCAGCTTCATTGGGCAATTCGCCAGAATGGTAAAGCCCTCGCTTGCTCCTGGTCTTAAATAGAGCAGCAGGGTGACGTCATCATGTAACTAATTTCAGGTGCAGTGATTTGAGGCGGAGGGGGGGGGTATTGTAATTATATAATCGATTGGTAATCAGTCAATGGTAATGATTAGTAATGAGTTGTAGATTAGTAATTATTTGTAATGTGTGTTATTGTGATTATATGCTACGTTAGTAATCCGTTAATTAGTATGTGTTTCCCCTATAAGGAATTGTAATATGTATTATTTAATAATACGCTTCCAAGCCACACTAAGCCTGTAGCTGTCAGAGCGATTATAGTTATTTCTATTCCTCTCAATTTCAATGGATTCTCTAATTAGTCTTTGCAGTAATAATTAGTTTTACACAACACTTCAACGTTATCAAAATCAATTGAGTGTCCTTGTTGACAAGCATGTTCTCCCACTGCCGACAGTTGTGTTTGAGATAATTTAATATTTCTTTGATGTTCTTTTAGTCTTATGCTGACGTTACGTCCCGTCTGTCCAATATAGCATCTGCCACATAAACAATTAATCTGATATACACCTTCTGTTGATAATTTAGGTAATGCGTCTTTAGTGCAAGATACTAGTTTTTGAATTTTGTGTACTGTACCAAATCTTACTGTAATGTTTTGCTTTTGCAAAACACGGGCTAATTTGTCAGTTACTCCTGAGATATATGGATTTTTTATTGTTTTAACAATCTGATCGCTTTCAGCAGTATTGCTTTGCAATCGTGATTTGGCATTCAGTGCTCTGTTAATTTGAACATTATTGTAGCCATTCTGTCGTAGTGCTTCTTTAACGTGTTTGATCTCTCTCAGTAGACTTTCACCATCTGACACTGTTTTAGCCCTATGTATGAGCGTCTTGATAAGAGAGGATTTCTGAGCTGGATGATGATGCAAAATATATCATCAAAAATGTGAAAATATCTTTCACATTAGTCATGGGTGAACTAAATGTATTTTTGTAGGATGGTACAGAGGAGAAAAGAGCCATGAAGTTCGCTATCCCAAGAATTTGGCAGGAACCCATTGACCACTCACGCAAATGCTACTTCTGCATGGTGGACCCTTCCAAACGTCGGACTGGCAAGAATGCACCTGCTATCACGTATCCGGACCTTCCTTCATCCATCGCCCCGGTGCCACACTGCCATGAGCTACCTGTACCCACTCCTCCGGAGAGAGGGCAGCCATCTTTAGAAGAGAGCAGCAAGTCAGAGAGCGAGGAAGACCTAGATCCAGATGACAATTTCAGAGGTGGAGCTGAGGTGAGAAACCCATACTACCCCAACCAAAAAGACCTCAACGGCTTGATCAGAGATCTTGGTCTGTCCAAGTCCAATGCCGAGCTTTTGACATAGAGGCTCAAGCAGTGGAACTTGTTGGATGAAAGTGTGCAAGTCGCAGATCAGAGGAAGTGTCACCAACCTTTTTGCAGCTTCTTCACCCGTCAAGATGGGCTCTGCTTCTGCCATAATGTGACCAGTCTGTTCGAGGCAATCGGAATTGCCTATAACCAGAATGACTGGCACCTCTTCATTGGCAGCTCATCCAGGAGCCTCAAAGCCGTGCTGCTTCATAATGGTAACAAGTACCCATCTCTTCCTCTGGCTCACTCGGTGCACCTCAAAGAGGATTACAACAGCATCAAGACCTTGCGGGATGCCTTGAAGTATGATGAATATGGCTGAGAGGTCATCAGAGACTTCAAAATGGTGGCATTCCTGATGGGTCTACAAGGCGGTTTTACCAAGATTCCCTGATATCTTTGCCTTTGGGACATCAGATACCAGGGCGCACTACCACAGGCAGGATTGGCCACAGCGGACCGAGTTCTCTGTGGGGAGGAACAACGTCAAGTGGGAGCCACTGGTGGACCCCCGGAAGTTGCTGATGCCACTACTGCACATCAAATTTGGCCTTATGAAACCATTTGTCAGAGCTGTAGATAAGGAGTCGGCAGCCTTCAAGTACCTTCAAGACTTCTTCCTTAAGCTGTCTGAGGCAAAGGTCAAAGCCGGTGTCTTCATCAGACCACAGATGAAGAAGATCCTGGAGTGCATTGAATTCCCCAAGAAGCTCACTAGTAAGGAGAACGCGGCTTGAGACAGCTTTGTCACAGTGGTTCATGGCTTCCTGGGCAATCACAACATCGAAAACTATGTGGAGCTGGTTGAGAACTATGGCACAATGGGCTGTAGGATGTCCCTCAAAGTCCATATCCTTGATGCTCATCTTGATCAATTCAAGGAGAACATGGGAGCATACTCAGAGGAGCAAGGCGAGCGCTTCCACCAAGATATACTGGACTTTGAACGGCCATATCAAGGACAGTATAACGAGAACATGATGGAAGACTACATTTGGGGGCTGATTTGTGAAAGTGATTTACAGTATAATCCTAAATCTTGAAAAACTACTCACTTCTAAATATTTTGTACTAATTTTTGTATTACTTTAGTATAATGACATGTTAATTTTGATTCATATGTATTTTAATCTGACTTTACGTGAACGAAAAGACACAAATTCACCCGTTTTCTCATTGAAAATAGGTAAATTTCAAAATATCACTGTCCTGGTCACAAAAGCAAAGTTTATGGGGAACAATAGCCATTTTTCTATACTTTTCTAGATTTGAAGCTTTCGTGACTGCAAGGATCCATACTCTTTGGTTCTATTCGGTAAAGTCACGTAGGTAAAAAAATAAAACAACAAAAATCACGACGTTTTGGCAACAACACAAGCGGCCTTCATTAGGTGAAGGGACCAGACTATCTCCAGGACAGCGCTGGAGTGAACACAGCTAAGCTCAGACCACGACCTTTAAGCTGTGTGAGATGAATCAAGGTGCCTTGACAAAGGAATTAGCATAAAAATTAGCATTTAATTGGCGGACTTAGCATGATGAAAGGTGAACATGTGCAGGTCGGCGAGGGGGGGAGGTGTGAAAAGGGAAGGGAAGGGATGCTGCGAAAGTTTGGGGTACCACTACTTGAAAAAATATACTGTACCATTGAAAATTAGTTTAATGTTTGGTTCGATTTAGAACATCTTTCCAATGGTTGCTTAATTTGAAACCATCTTCTCGGTTGAAATTGTGGCTGTGTTTGTAAATCTGAATTGCCTCGTGAACAAATCTCTGATAAAACCCCTATACTTATTGAGCATAAGCAATTACGAAATAATACTTACTACCCACGAACAAAAATTGTGTTACATAGTGAATTATCAAACTGCTGCTGAATGAGGCCTCCTCCAGGCCAGGTTGGTCATGGAGGTTATTTATTTGTTCGCCATGTTCATCAGTGCGGGTTAGTGAAGTGGGAGGCCCAGGACCTGTTCAGGTATCACACTACTAGTGTGTTAGCCATGGCCGGGGATTGAACTCAGGTGGACTAGGTTCAAAACGTGGTATGCTAACCGCCACAACCCTACGTAAGGTACAAATAAATAATGTGTCCCCATTCTCATGAATATTGGGCAGAATTCATCTCCATTGGGGGACCTTAGCCAGTAGTATAAATTACAAATTGTTGTAGGAATCATTCTATAGCACAAACGATCGTTGGCTTCTCACAAGGTGGTACTCATTTTATACAACCTAAAATAGTGATAGCCTGAGTTGATGATCATCTGAGTTTATTCATGAGCAGACTTATTGCTTGTGAGTCAGTGGGGTGAAGTAAGATAATATAATGAATTTGTTACTTGCCCATCACAGATCGAAGAGGAAGCAAAGATTGATGGAACATCCTGGCCGTTCTGGTTCTGCAGACACCGGCTCCCTCATCATCCA